TGATCCTGGGAGCGTGAGGCCTCGCAGCTCCGCTGGATCCCGGGGCCGTGAGGCTCGCTGCTCGGCCAGCTTCGGGGCCGTTTGGCTTGGCTCCACCGCTTGGAGCCTATGTATGCAAATTACCCGCCATCTTTATTGGCGGTTAATTTGCATATGACCCTGATTAGCCAATGCGAAGTGTAGCGAAGGTACAGTCAATTACCCTTTTTGTCTTTTATTAGATAGGATATGTACACACAAATATATACACTACTACAAAGCATTTACAGCAGTCTCTTTTATAAAGTAAAATAGAGGTGAAGCAGGGGGGTGAGTGGGATACTCTTACTTTTCCTCTGGGTAAACATTCATATTGTTTGAAATTATTTTTTACAACGATAATGTATTTTATTTTGCATTTAAAAAGTAAATATTTTAATAGGCAAAATACTTACCTTCCTATTTTATCTTCCTTTACCCCCCTCATTTCACAGATAAGGAAGCTGACCATAGAGGTCATGTGACTTGCCCCGTTTCAGATTAGTCAATAGGGTAGCAGGATTAGAACTCAAGCTGGCTGGCTCTTTCTTGGTACAGTGTTCTTACCTATAGATGTTAGGGTACTTCCATATGGTGATGTAAGTCATTAAGGCTTGATTTATATATCTGGACCACTGATATTGGGGAAAAGGGTAAGGAAATAATAACTTTTAAAAATTAACAGCAAGGCTGAGTCCTATGTGACCAAATTCAACATTTGCTATCTCTCAGTTAACTGACTTTTTACTTTATTACTGTGTTTCTAGAACAATACACTGAAAAGATGTTAGAGATAAAAGAGATTATGGATAATGTGCTTGCCAAACAGAAGGCAGAAAGGGATGATCTGGCTAAAAAATACAGGTGAGTGGAAAAAATAGGAGTGTGTTAGAGTTATTAGAATTTATACATTTTTAGCTATAATAGTTAGGCCTAGAATTTCTTAGGATACAAATTCTTAAGACTGTTGCTTAGGACCAAAAAATAACTTTATCTAATCTATTACCTCCACAGGGAATTGTACTTCCCAGAAAGATATTTTTCTTCATTACTAGAAATATTCAGGAAACCAAAAGTTGTAGAAAACTTGTCTACAGCCAAGAATTTTATGAAAGCCTTTCTGGTCATGAATCCCCAAAATAAATTGTTTCCCTTAGTAAACTCAATTTTTTTTACATTAAACTTTTTTTTTTTTTTTGCTATTACAGATGTTGTTCCCCTAAGCAGTTTAATTATGTATATTTATTTGTTTTATGTACTTCTAAGTTCTCAGGGTTCTTAAGGAGTTTTATTCTGATTATATGGGTTATATACCTCTTTTCATCCTTTTTTTTTTTTAAATCTTCACCTGAGGATATTTTTCCATTGATTTTTAGAAATAGTATAAGAAAGAGGGAAAGACAGAGAAATACCCATGTGAAAGAAACACATTGATTGGTTGCCTCCTGCACATGCCCTTACCAGTGCATGAGCCCTTACCAGGCCTGGGGCCTGCAACCGAGGTACTTGCCCTTGACCAGAATTGAACCCGGGACCCTTCAGTCCACAAGCCGACGCTCTATACATTTAGCGGAACCGGCTAGGGCTTCTCATCCTTGGTTGAGAAAGATGTTATACTAGAGGCCCGGTGCATGAATTTGTGCACCAGTGGGGTCTCTCAGCCTGGCCTGCGGGATCGGGCCAAAACCAGCTCTCTGACATCCCCTGAGGGGTCCTGGATTGCAAGAGGGCGCAGGCCAGGCCAAGGGACCCCACCCGTGCACGATCAGGGCCGGGGAGGGACATGGGAGGTTGGCCAGCCAAAGAGGGACTGTGGGAGAGTTCCAGGGCGTGTCCTGCCCATCTCGCTCAGTCCTGATCTGCTGGACCCCAGCAGCAAGCTAACCTACTGGTCAGAGTGCCCCCTGGTGGTCAGTGCATGACATAGCAACTGGTCGACCGGTTGACTGTCTGCCCCCTTGTGGTCAGTGCATGTCATAGAGAGCAGTTGAGTGGCCTTAACATATCATTAGCATATAATGCTTTGATTGGTTGAACAGACGACCAGATGACTGGACACTTAGCATATTAGGCTTTTATTATATAGGACTAGAGGCCTGTTGCAGGAAGATTCCTGCAAGAATAGGGCTTCCTGAGACCATAGTGAAGCAGAGAAGGGAGTGAAGCCCTGCCCTCGGCTCCCTCCCGTCTCCACCGCTTCGCTCCCTTTCTTCTCCACTGCCTCGCTTCCTTCCTTCTCCACTGCCTCGCTTCCTCCCTTCTCCGCTGCCTCGCTCCGTTCCTTTTCCACTGCCTCGCTTCCTCCCGTGTCCACCGCCTCGGCTCCCTCCCTTCTCCACCACTTCGCTCCCTCTCGTGTCCGCTACCTCAGCTCTGCTCCTATCTCTGCTACCTCCGATCCGTTCCCTTCTCCACCTCTTGGCTCCCTTCTGCAGTGCTTGGCTTCCTTCTACACCAGCCGTGGGCAAACGACGGCCTGCGGGCCGGATCCGGCCCATTTGAAATGAATAAAACTAAAAAAAAAAAAGACTGTATCCTTTTATGTAATGATGTTTACTTTGAATTTATATTAGTTCACACAAACACTCCATCCATGCTTTTGTTCCGGCCCTCTGGTCCAGTTTAAGAACCCATTGTGGCCCTCGAGTCAAAAAGTTTGCCCACCCCTGTTCTACACTGTCTTCAGTCTTCGCTGGGCACCTATGTATGCAAATTAACCGCCATCTTTGTTGGGTTAATTTGCGTACTCTTCTGATTGGCTGGTGGGTGTAGTGAAGGTACAGTCAATTAGCATCTTTGTCTTTTATTAGTGTAGATATTTTCTTGTTTGGGCATTATCTATTTTTTTTTCTTGTGATGAGAATTTTTAAGATCTGTTCTCTTAGGAACTTTCAAATATACAATACAGTATTATTAACTGTAACTACCATGCTGTGCATTACATCCCCATGACTTACTTATTTTATAACTGGATGTTTGTACTTTCTGACCACCTTCACTTATATCAGCCACCTCCTGCCCCCCACCTCTTGTTCTCGGAATATCTATATATCTATATATCTATATATCTATATATCTATATATATCATATATAGGTGAGATCATAGGGTATTTGTTTTTTTGTTTGACTTTCACTTAGCATAATGCCCTCAAAGTCCATCCATGTTATCACAAATGGCAGGATTTCCTTCTTTTTGTGGCTAAATAATATTCCACTGTATGTGTGTTACATTTTCTTTATTCATTGATGGACACTTAAGTTGTTTCCATGTCTTAACTGTTGTGAATAATGCTGCAATGAATATGCAGATATATTTTTGACCCTATTCTTTATTCACATGTAATATTTCTTTTCCTTTATATTCTTGTCTTACAATCCTTTGGCATCCATTGCATATTCAGATTTTTTTCTGAACTTATTTTAAAATCAGTTTTTATTTTTATTATAAATCTATCTTTATCCCCATTTTTCTTTACTATTTAGTGAATAAGTATCATAAATTCCTTTCTATAAAGCCAATGAGCTTATAAGACCTACAGATGGGGAATTGAATAAAGGAAGCTATCCACTGAGTGCAATGACTCTGGGGCCTTCAGGGAGGTTCCGGTGCCTTGCCTGGGCCCACCTGGCATTTTCTAGGGGACTTTGGAGAAGGCTAGCTTCAATTTTTCTTACATCCTCTGATTTACAAGATACTTAGAATTTTGGAAATTCCTGATCAGTTAGGGTTTCAAGTGTAAATCCTTATTAAAATTGCTGTAAGACTTAAAATCTTACAAACTAAAGAGCACTTTTATTTTGTGCCTGAACTCTTTGTTTCACATAGTTTTATTTTTTAATTTATTTTTACTTTTAATCATTTTTTATTTTTCAATTACAGTTGACATACAGTATTAGATTAGTTTCAGGTGTACACATCAGTGATTAGACATTATAAAACTTACTATGTAATTTTCCTGAAAAATCTCATACCCATCTGATACTATATATAGTTATTAGAATGTTATTGACTATATTCCCTGTGCTGTACTTTACATCCCCATGAATATACTATAACTACTAATTTATACTTCTAAATCCCTTCATCTTTTTCATCCATCTCATCAATCCCCTTCCCATCTGGCAACCATCAAAATGTTCTCTGTATCTATGAGTCTGTTTCTGTTCTGCTTGTTCATTTATTTTTATTTTTTGATTCAATTGTTGATAGATATGTATTTATTGCCATTATGTTGGTCATATTTTTTATCTTTTTTGTTCTTCTTCTTCTTAAAGAAGACCCTTTAACATTTCATGTAATACTGGTTTGGTGGCAGTGAACTCCTTTGACTTTTCTTGTCTGGGAAGCTCTTTATCTGACCTTTAATTCTAAATGATAACCTTGCTGGGTAGAGTAATCTTGGTTGTAGGTCCTTGCTTTTCATTGTTTTGAGTATTTCTTTTTTTTTTTTTTAAATATATTTTATTGATTTTTTACAGAGAGGAAGGGAGAGCTTCCTTGAGTGTATCACTCATGGAGGTGATAGCGGTGTAGTTCAGTATGGTCTGAAGCTGTCCACTGAGTGCACTGACTCTGGGGCCTCCAGGGAGGTTCTGGTACCTTGCCTGGGCCCACCTGGCATGAGCTACAGAGTTATCTGCAGATGGCTGCTACTTGGGGTTTGGAGGTACCCAGGAGAGGCCAAGCTCTGAGCCAAGGCAGGCTGCAGCTAGTGCCAGGCCTGGGGCTACTTAGCAAGAGATATGAGGTACACTGAGGCCAGTTGCTGCTTGTTTGAGAGATTTTAGGAAAGCCTGTCCTCTGAGGCAAGAGAGGACAGTTGTATGGAAAAGCCACTGGAAATGGCTTGGATAAGCCCCCAAGTTGGGTAGGGCAGGGTCACAGGGAATCACCAGAATGGAGTGAAAAATGTGATCCAAATTGATGGAGACTCAGACTTGGCACCCCTCTGTCGGCTCTGTTGGGGAAGGGCTCAGCAAAGGAACAGTGGCCTCTGCCAGCACTTTTATCTGGGAGAAAGCTTCTCCCCCAGCTCTTGCACTGATGCCAGACAATTTAGTTACTCCCTGTATGTCCCTGGTTCCTTTCAAGCTGCTGCCCCAATGAGATAGCTCAGAGGGAATAAGTCCAAATAAGTTAATATGTGGGCCCTTTAAGAGGAACTTCCCAGGACTCCAGCAGCCTCCATGTCACTCAGTCATAATCATCGCTGGTTTTTACAACCCAAAGTTATAGAGACTTCTTTTCTCAGCTCTGGAACCCTGGGCTAGAGGTCTGATATGGGGCTGGCATCCCTCACTCCTCAGGGGGGGATCTCTGTAGCCAAGATATCCCTCCCAATTAAAAACTACCACACCAGCCTGTTCCACGCCTCCACCCCTCCTACCGGTCTCTATGGGGCTTCTTTAATTCCCTAGTTGTGGAACTTCCTTTCAGCTAAATTTCAGGCAGTTCTGAATGATGGTTGTTCTAAAGATTAGTTGTATTTTTTATTTTATTTTATTATTTTTTTAAAATATATATTTTTATTGATTTCAGAGAGGAAGGGAAAGGGAGAGAGACATAGAAACATCAATGATGAGAGAGAATCATTGTTCGGCCACCTCCTACACGCCCCTCACTGGGGATAGAGCCCGCAACCCGGGCATATGCCCTTGGCCAGAATCGAACCTGGGACCCTTCAGTCTGCAGGCCAACGCTCTATCCACTGAGCCAAACCGGCCAGGGCTAATTGTATTTTTTATATGATTGTGGAAAGATTTGAGTACCGCATTTACCTATGCTGCCATTTTGTCCGAAGCCTCTGTTTCACGTAGTTTAAAATGTGATATTGTTAAATAAATTCTTTTTTCTTTATTTTCTTGCATTTTATGCTATCAGTTGTTTGTTAATCTGATTTATTCTTTCTGTTTCTTACACTTACATCTACTTTAATACCCAGTATACTTGGAGTTTAGCAGCAACAACTCTAAACTGTGACAGAAAAAACAGATATCTATTTTACTGCTTTCCTTAGAACAGCTGCTCTTAATGGGTGGTTCCTAAGGATCCCTGACACTATTTCAAGGGGTCTATGAAGTCAGAACTATTTTTTAAGAATACTAAAATGTTATTTACCCTTTTTTGCTCTCATTCTCTCATGAGTGTATAATTTTATTTAGGCCACATAGTGTGTGATGACATCATCACTCTAATAGCTAATGGAATGTGTGCTTGGGTATTCTTGTGTTTTTAAATTTTTTCAGTTTTATTTTCCAAACAGTGAATATTGATAGATATAACCCATATAAACAAAAGCTCTTTGGGTTTCTCAATAATTTTTAGGAGTATAAAATAGTCCTGAGAACAAAAAGGTTGAGAACGACTGGAAACAAGGTGTCACAGGATGTCCAGAAGGTGGTAACTGTGGAATATAACCAAAAAACGGAGGTGTGGGCAAGCCATTTTCTCCCACTTCGTCCTCCATCCCTGAGAGATTGGGTTTGGGGAGGCATATGGGTTAATGCTTGTCTGAGTAGTCCCTCTGGACTTGAAAATGCTCAGTACAATTACAGTAATTACTTGTTGAACTGAATTTCTCAGATTAGCTCAGGCATAATTATTCACAAAACAATCTCACTCTTCTAAAATTAAGGGAACTTGAGTGAAACTTCCAAATTTTACTTCTTTATACACTTTTCCACTGTAAACAGGTAACCAAACTTGAAACGTAAAGAATGGTGTTCCTCCTCGGCCACCAATTGCTAGCTTCCAAGTAGAAGACTAGTAGATATCTGGATAGACTACCCAAGTTTTGTTTCTCTGTTAGGGTTGACTCATAACTGCTAAATAATGATCTGACTATAAACGTGGGTATAAATGTGGATAACCACACTGCCACCTCCTTAGAAAGGCAGACTCACTTACCTTAAGAGTCAGTTCCTCTCAAAGAAAATGCATTTACAAAGACAGAACCTTGTGTACTTTGTGGTGGTCAAATTTAAATCGAAAGAAAGTATCTTTAAAGTGCAAATGACTGCTTTTTAAAAAGCTTTTTACTTTGTTTGTATTTTTGTTTCTTCTGTTTCTTACTATAGGGTTTCCATAGAATCATTTAAGCATGGTGTCCTGAGAGAACAACTGGCTAACTTGGCCATGAGACAGAAGAGCCTTTTAGTTGTGGCAAAAAAACAGAAAAAAATAAGCCAGAAAATTCAAAACTATAAGAATGTTACATCTGTGTCTGGTCTTAGTTTGAGGAAACTGCCATCCAGCTCAGAGATCTCTTGTGAAAAGGACAGCCAAGAGCTTACCAGCCTGGAAAATTCAGTGCAGCCCCAGGCGGGTTCATTTTCTCCTGCCAGCTCTGTTTGTGAAAGCATACAGGAATCACAGTTGTCTCTGGAAACATGGAACGACAGCCAAAATATCAACACTTGTCTAAATTTAGAGACAGTGAGAGGGGAAGAATTTTCTGAAATTAAGCTGAATTCTAGACGAAATGTCAGTGACTATTCCTTGGATGAGTTTTCAAAATCCAGACCTTCAGATGGCACTAAGAAGATTAAATTACCATCCCAACCTGTTGCTTTTATTGCTCAAGCAGAGTATTTACAAAAAGAAAATGATCTTACAGCACATACAACCAAAGGTCATGAATCCTATAGTCCTTTAGCACTAACTGGCCCATTAAATACATCAGAAACCACAAGTGTACTTGTCCCAAATGCCCATTCATCCACTGGTATTTGTGGTCAGACTCTTTCCAATTATGATCCAAAAAGAGGAAACAAGAGAACAGCTTCCCAGCAACCACCTAGGGGGGCATCAAAAACCCTGACACATCCAGATATTGATGACTTAGGCAGTGATATGGGGCATCAGATGAAATCATATCTTAAAAATTCAGCTTTTGCTCTTCCATATGCAAATGACAGTCAGAGCACCTCCTCCTCTGGGTCTGGCCCTCAGCATACCGCAAAAAAGCCTTTCAACTACAGCAAAGCTCCTAAAAAGAAGCGCATGCAGATAAAGGATCTGATAGCACTAGGAAGAATTAATCCAGGAAATAACATTTTGGAATTCAAAACACAGGTATCTTTTTTTTCTCTAAAATGATCTAAATTTTAAAAGTGAATAAACTTTGCTGTTGCATAGTGTAGGCATTTACCTCCAACTAGTGAAATGGGGTTTGGCTGGGCTTCTTGAATGGAGGGACCACAACCATTGTATTCTTAGCAATTGAAATCGTGCTTCTAGAATTTCCCTATACATTTTAGTCACAAGTATCTGTGGGCTCTCAGACCGAAATTATATTGCACCAGGAAGGATTTAAGAGCAACATAAAAATAGTAAGCTGGAGCTGGCTTTGATTCCAAAATTTTGGAAACTACCAGTGTACTGCTGAAGCTTCCCCTGATAAGAGATAAGTATAAATTCATCTTCCATAGAAACTTTGTTGTTTTTCTGTGTGTGTGTTTTTTTAATCCTTAGCCCAAGATATTTTTTCCATTGTTTGTTTGTTTGATTTTAGAGAGAGAGAGTGGAAAGGAGGGAGGAAGGGGGAGAGAGAGAGAGAGAGACAGACAGACAGACAGACAGACATCGATTGGTTGCCTCCTGCACTCCCTGACTGGGGCTGGATATTGAACCTGTAACTGAGGTACGTGCCCTTGACTGGGAATCAAATCTGCGACCCTTTGGTCAGAGGGCGGGCGCTCTAACCACTGAGAAAATTAGCCAGGGCTGAGTTTGTTTTTACAAAAAAAAGTGACTTGGAGTTTGCATAAATGTGACCCACTGAAAACAATATCACATATGCATAAAAGTACAGGAAAGGAAAAAAGGTTCTGCTAGAAATGCTGACAAAAGAGGCTTCCTCTCCTCCCTCCCCACTTTCACTTTTTGAAAGAGGAATTCAGAGTGGCAAAGATTGCAGAGTCCAGGAATGCTTGCTTTCTTATGACCATCCAACAGATATCAATCCAGGCTAACTGGAATTTAATCTGAATGACCTATGTTTTCAACCCTTTCCATCTCTGGGTAATTGGGATTTTCCTAGTTAGCAAGCTTTACTTATAAATTAGGAGCAAAAAAACACACAAACATTTAAAGCTTCAAACTATAATTTAAAGACCAAATTAGTAGTTTGATCTCAGATTCCTTAATGTTCCTATTTGCTTGCCTGTCAACCAGTTTATTGCTAAGTAGTACCTACCTCAGATTAGCCAGAGCAAATTACATTTTATTTAGTAAATTAGTTTCATTAACTCATATTTTGACAGTTGTGGTTAATTCTCTGGATTAGCTATAATTAAATTTTAATACAACTTTTCATATTAACAGTTTTATTAAGATGTAATTGACATACAATACAATACACATATTTAAAGTATACAGTTTGACAGTTTTGACATATGTTTACACCTATGTAGCCATGACCACAAACAATATACATCAACCCCCAAAGCTTCTTTGTGTCCTTTTGTACACCTCCTTCATCTGCTCCCTTCCCATGCCAATGTCTAGACAATTATTGGTATGCTTTCTGTTCATATACATTAGTTTGCATATCCAAAAATTCTATATAAGTGGAATTATACCATATGTATTTATTTTTGTCTGGCTTCTTTCTCTGAGCATAATTATTTGAAATTCATCCTTATTGTAGCATGTATCAGTAGTTTGTTTATTTTTATTGCTGAGTATTAGTTCATTATATGTATACTAGAGGGCCGGTGCACGAAATTCGTGCACTGGGGCGGGGGGGGGCCCTCAGCCTGGCCTGCACCCTCTCGCAGTCTGGGAGCCCTGAGGACATGTCCGACTGACAGCTTAGGCCCACTAAGCCATCAGTCAGATGTCCTTAGATTGCCACGGAGGCGGGAGAGGCTCGAGAGGCTCCCACCACTGCCGCTGTGCTTGCCAGCCATGAGCCCAGCTTCTGGCTGAACGGCACTCCCCCTGTGGGAGCACACTGACAACCAGGGGGCAGCTCCTGCATTGAGTGTCTGCCCCCTGGTGGTCAGTGTGCATCATAGTGACCAGTCATTCCACCATTCGGTCATTTGCATATTAGCCTTTTATTATGTAGGATATGCTGTAGATGAGGCCCCCTAGAACCATAAGAAATGCAGAAAATTCACTGTTAACTTATTCTCAAATTGCCCCCACTTAAAAATCAAATTGCCCCCCTGTGGGGTGTGTGCTGCACCTTGGGAACCACTGGGCTTGACACTTTTCCTCTCTGAGCTTCATTTCTGAATACATATGCATATACCATGGAATTGTAATCTCTTCTCTGCCTACCTCACTGGGTTGTCATGAGGAGGTTCTGAGCTAATAAACCTAGAAATGTTTCATCAAGTAAGTGATGTCTAAATGGGAAAGGATTGTTATTTTTAAGCTCACGGGTACCCTCGCAGGTAGCAGGTGCTGATTAGGGGAGGAGGGCGTGATTGTTTCCTGGGACTGTAGCTATCAAAGCTTTGCAGAGGGTTCCTCAGGCCTCGGGCAGGCTCTGGCCAGCAGCCCTGTAGTGGTGGTCGTCCCTGGAGATGCTGGCTGGGAGGGCGGTAAGGGGACACTAAGGGGGCGGCGAGGCCAAAGGGGGAGCAACTGTCAAACCTCCCCACTTGGTGCCATTCTTTAAATTGTATGTGGCCGTTTCACAGCTGTAGGTGCTCAGGGCAGGGCTCCAATCTCCTGGAGTGGGGTGGGGGCCAGGCCAGGGCAGAGCCAGGTGGGTTAGGAGGGCGGGTTTAACCGAAGCGCCTGGTGAGGTTCAGTGCGCTTCTGCTGCAGAGACGGAGCCGCTGCTATCAGGGGGAATGGGTCTGACCCTGGGGGGCCACTGGGGCCTGCCTCCACCTGGGTCTGGAGTTGTAGGGAGGAGAGCATGCCCGGTCCCAGCGGAGGGGGCCCAGCAGTGGCGGGCTGCGGGTCCCGGGTGTTTCAGGGGTGCTGACGGGTCGTCGCCATTGTTGTGGGCACCCCTGGTAGGGGTGGCAGGGGAAGAGATTGGGAGTCGGAGGTGTGGGCTGCGGCTACCCCCGAGGCTGGGTCTTCTCCCTGTCCAGTCAGCCTCCCTGTTCCCCCTGGGGGTGCAGGGGCTGGGGTAGGGTATCCGTGCAGGGGGGATTGGAAGAGCTCCCCGTGGCCGCTTCCTCTTTCTTCTTTGCAGTCTGGGCTTCTGTCAGGTGCTCTCCTCAGACCCCCGGGAACTTGGCTCCAGCCGCCCCACCCCTCCGTGGCTCCCTGCCGCCCCACCCCACTTGGCTCTCCCGGGCCACCCGCCTGTCAGGAGGCTGCCGGCGGGCCCTGGTCAGGGGGTGGGGGTGTGGGGAGAAGCTCCAGTGAAGTTTAGTAAACCCCAGGTCTGCGTCGGGATTTGGCTGCGGGGCCGCAGGGGAATCTGCCTGGGTGGGACGAAATCACGAGAGACCCGGAGTCCCGCCCCGTAGCCCCACAGCCCCACAGCCCCACAGCCCTGCCCACCCTGCTGAACGATCATGATGCGAGGGCGTCCCGGATAATTTGCATATTCCTCTATTATTATATAGGATTATTATATAGGATACTATAGTTTATTAATTCATCTGTGGTAGACATTTAGATTGTTTCCAATTGTTGGTTGTTACAAAAAAGGCTACTATGAACATTGATATACAGTTTTGGTCTGACACAGACTTTCATTATTTCTTGGGTAAGTACTTGAGAGTGGAGTGGCAAAATTATATATGGTAAATGTATATTTAACTTTTTAAGAAATTGCCAAAATTTGTAACATTTTACATTCCCACCAGCTATCAATGAGAGTTATAGTTCCTTAGCCAACACTTAGTATGATCTGTCTTTTAACTTTAGCCATGCTAACATATAGTGTAAATATGTATATGTACTATAGTATATGTGTTGTGGTTTTAATTTACATTTCTTAATGATTAATTATGGTGAGTATCTTTTCATGTGCTATTTGCCTTCATATTTATTCTTTTGTGAAATGTCTGTTCAAATCTTTTGTTCCCTTTTATTGTTTTCTTGTTTTTTTATTAAGTTTTAAGGATTTTTAAACCATTGTTTTCATATATTTTGTTTTTTGGTTGCGTCAGGTGCTAGGGTAAATCTGGTCCCTGTTACTTCATGGCCAGAAACAAGTTCACATATTTCATCTATTTTTTAATATTAACATTTTTTTTTCTTCAGGAGACTACCCACAAAGCCAGTGTTTTATTGAGTGGTAAAATTAAGGTAGAAAATGGTCAGATTTATCAAAATCCAGTCACCTGGCTCAAGGATCTTCTAGGAGGTGACCGTCATGTGACCTGGAATTATGCTTGGAGTAAGGTGGGTCATCTTTCACTTCATGCTCAAATGGAAAGATACATTTTTTAAATATATTTTATTGATTTTTTACAGAGAGGAAGGGAGAGGGATAGAGAGTTAGAAACATCGATGAGAGAGAAACATCGATCAGCTGCCTCCTGTACACCTCCTACTGGGGATGTGCCCGCAACCAAGGTACATGCCCTTGACCGGAATCGAACCTGGGACCTTTCAGTCCACAGGCCGACGCTCTATCCACTGAGCCAAACCGGTTAGGGCGGAAAGATACATTTAAAAAAAATGATAAAACTACTTATTTTTCTTTTAAAGAAAAATGCAAGTTCTCCAAGCTCATTTTTGTCCCCAGGTGTCCCTTCTGCAATATGCTACATGCTTTCTCCCACAACTTCTATTTGCCAGCATTCCCTGGGGGCAAGGGCTTCCTTCCTTGCTCCTTACTTCGTCTCAGAAATTTGAATGCCCCAATTTTCTTGACCCCAAGTGATTTCAGGTCCTTGTGACTCCATGTAGAAAATTTGGAACCACTGTTGACTTTAATAATTTATTAATATGTTATCAGCATTCTGACAGAATCTTCTCCTAAAGACAGAAGGAACCAGCAAGGGCCTTAAGACCCACAGAAGTTATGGTTCATTTTTGTTTGAACATAGTTTTATCTATGAATTGCTAGCTCCCCCCAAAAGAAATATTTCTTTTCATTCATACTTCCCAGACTTAGTAGCCTCCCCCTCAGTTCTGTCTTCTGACTTACAAGCCCAGTCTGACCACCAATTTGAAGACTATTAATGACTGACACCCTTGAGGTCCAATGACCAGCCACCTCCAGATGTCTATGGCACCACTTAAGGGACAGTCTTGCAATGATTTACCCAGGAAAGTGTGAAAATTGGACATCCACCATTACTGTTTCACAGAACTGCAGATGTCTTCAGCCTCCACTCACTATTACAGTAAGCCTCAGTCCAGCACTAATAAGAGGCATAGTTTCCTCTTTTTTTGTCCAAGCCCTGCTCACCCTTTCTCATAATCCCTGCTCTTGGTCTGTGTCCCTAACTACAGCATTCTGGTCTCCTAGACCTTTGTGGCAGGTGCTTCCAGAACTCTTTCAATTCCTTATATCAGTGCATTTTAAATTGTCTCTGTATTATATTTTCTCTGTCCTTTTTTTTTTTTAACTTTCAACCCCTGGAGTCAACTGGCCATCTGCTTTCAATTCACCCTGCCCAATCCTTTCCATGGATTCATAAATCATATTTGCATATTAGTAATTAATACTTAACCCATGGAAATTCCTTTTTTTACATTTCTTAAACTTATGATAGATTATATTATTTTGCTGAAACTGAGTCTATGCTCAGTATAAATATGGTACTGATTGCTATAGTTTAGGTTCTTTTGAGCTTGACATACCTCTGTTACAGTGTGCCTACTGATGACTCAAGACTCCTACTCTTTTTCTCTACTAGAACTATTGCATTCTCGCTTTTGAATAACTAACTGTGACATCATTTAGCCCTCACTCTGTACTTCACTTACATATCACATTGCTTCTGATCTTTTCTTATTAGCCATGTAAATTAGGGTTGTATTGTTTAACATCTATGTGATAGTGAAGCCAAATGCAAATGTGGACATCAATATTAGTGCAAATCTTGGATATAAGATACTCATACAGATTATCTGAACAGGATTATATTTTTTAAAAATTGTTCTAAAAACAGGAACAGTTTTTAAAATTTCTATAGGCCATGCATATACTTCTAGTAAATACTCTAGGCCAGTGGTCAGCAAACTGCGGCTCGCAAGCCACATGCGGCTCTTTGGCCCCTTGAGTGTGGCTCTTCCACAAAATACCAACTTCTGCGCATGGGCCATGAAGTTTCAATCACACTGTACGTGCGCGCCCTCGCGTGGTATTTTGTGGAAGAGCCACACTCAAGGGGCCGCAGTTTGCCGACCACTGCTCTAGACTAAGAAACTCTACTCCAGTGAGTTGCTTTATTTAAATAGTTTATTTTAAAAGCCTCTTTTAAAATGTACCACAGAAATTGCCTCTACCTCCTCTTGTCTTGAAGTAACTCCTGAATTCACAGTCACTTCTTGATGAAGGGAACTTTTGTTACATTGGTAAATATGAACATTTTAACTGACTAGTCTTAAGAATGTTGGTGAGGCTATGGGACCAGGAATGGTTGGTTGTCAGGCAAGAAATGCCATAAAACTAGGTCTTGTCCTGCATCAGACAGAATGACAGAGCCACAAGACCAAGAGATGACTCATACTTCCTACCCAAGCAGCTGCGGGAATCCTGCTTACTCCCATTGGGCATCACGACTTGCTGTCACTGACAGTCTCCTGGCTGTTAGCTATCATCCTGATATGGCAGAGTGATCTCTCTCTCTGTGGGAGACAGGAGACCATGCTTGTTCCTGATACCACCCTTGATAAGTTATATGATGTGGGCAACAGTTTTCAATCCTGCCTACACATTAGAATCACTTGGGGAGCTTTTAAATCTACCAGTGCCTAGTGGACTCCAGGCCCTTAGCTTCTGACCTAATAGTCTGAGTTAAAGGCCAAGTGGTAATATTTTTTAAAAGGTTTCCAGGCGATGCTAATGTGCAGCCTGGAGTGAGAATCACTGATCAGGTCAAATCATTTAACCTTTCTGAACCTGTTTTCTTATGTATAAAATAAATAATGCCAATGGTCTCTAAAGATTTTTCCAACATGGAGATGCTAGGACTTGCGTAGCACTGTGTGTAAAACACTTTTATGTATATTCTTTCACAAAACTCCTAAGAAGTCAGAAGATCACCTATTATCTTTATTCGTGGATGTGAAACAGTATTGCTTGTGGTTAGTGACTTGATTAGCCTCAAGGCCAGTAAGTGCCAGAACTGGACTAGAACCTGATCTGATTCCCTATGCACTGTTTTCTACATTTACAACAATATCACACACAAGGGACGCCCACTTCCTTTTCCTGGAAACAGCTTGCCCTGAATTCAGAATCATTCAGCTGCCTTTATGAATTTCTGCAAAGACATATTCTTGTGCAGCAAAAATGGCCCACTTCCACAGGGAAAATGCCTTTCTGTGATACAGGTGCAGTATGAACATCATAGGAATGGCAATGACAGTTCAAGCCCTGGACACGACTTATGCAGATAAAAAGTAAGCTGCTGTTTGGGCAGTGACTCAAGGAGCACTGACAGATCTCTTTTGCAAACACACTTCCCATCGTGACGCTTCCCTGTCTGAATTCTACCCTCATAAATGTACTCCTTTGGATATAGCATTGACTTTTCTCTATGGTTTCCCCCTCACCCTACACACTTTCTAAAAAAATTTCTCACACCCTATGATTAGGAATATCAAGATATGGAGAAGTTGGGGTAGGAATACAGAAAGTGATGGAGATTGTTTATCTGGACAGACAGCCTCATTCAGTCCATTAATTACACTCCCAATGTGTCATAACTTAAACCTCCTGTGAGTCCAGCTTCTACTCAGGAGGAGATGGTTAGAGATGTGGGCCCCTTTAAAATACAGATATCTAGCCCTGGTGGGTGTGGCTCCGTTGGTTGAAGCATTGTCATATACACCAAAAGGTCTAGGGTTTGATTCCCAGTCAGGGCACATACCTAGATTGCAGGTTCGATCCCCAGTCTGGGCACATACAGCACACAACCAATGGATATTTTGCTCTCTTCCTCTCTCCCTTCCTCTCTCTAAATCAGTGGTTCTCAACCTGTGGGTCGCGACCCCTTTGGGAGTTGAACGACCCTTTCACAGGGGTCGCCTAAGACCATCGGAAAACACATATATAATTACATATTGTTTTTGTGATTAATCACTATGCTTTAATTATGTTCAATTTGTAACAATGAAAATAAATCCTGCATATCAGATATTTACATTACGATTCATAGCAGTAGCAAAATTACAGTTATGCAGTAGCAACGAAAATAATTTTATGGTTGGGGGTCACCACAACATGAGGAACTGTATTAAAGGGTCGTGGCATTAGGAAGGTTGAGAACTACTGCTCTAAATAAACATATCCTCCAGTGAGGATTAAAATACAAATATCTGAGGTGTGAATCCTAAAGACATAAATAATGTGAAAGGCCTGCTGCTCTTCTCTTGCCTCTAACTGCATAGGGTATCTGGGGGAAGTGGAAAGAGAGGCTTCAGGATGGTGAGTAGGTGAGGAAGATACCTGTCATCGTTTCCCCAGGATCAGCTCTTCCAAAGCAGTTACTACAATTACACTTTGATACTCTTTTCTGTCTTGTCTTTTGAATTCCTTAGAAATATTTTAATATTCTTAGCCCAAATGTGTTTTTATCTTGCAACGAACTTAAAGAAATGAACTTTGCCTTTTTACTCCCCCTAAGATGGAAAATAATTTTTCTTTTCTCTTTCATCCTCTTGGAGTAGTGAAAGTTGTTAAGACTTGCTTCTTAAAACTTAAAATGCTTCTTAAAACTTAATTTGATCATCCATGAACAGATTCTCAGTAGTCAATACTAATAACTGTTTTTCCTGAAGATCTGTGAAAAATGGGCTGGTACTTTCAAATAAAATGCAGTCCCAGCAGGGAAACAAATTCTTGAACACTTCTTTAATATTCAAAGGCAGGTTATGTTTTATATTCTTTTATTGATGCATGTTAATACATAAGGTATAGAGAAACATTTGTTACTGCAATTAATGACAGTTGATACCATACTTTATTTTCAGAGACCTAACCAAAATAAAGTTAATTGATCATTTCACTTGGCTCATTCACTACATTTTCAGAATAGTGGCTGCCTGAATTGTCCAACCACCCCAAACACCTACATGCACACTTCCCACACCCCACTTCTTTCCTAAATATGATATTAGGGTATCAGCATAGACTGGTTTCTGAGGAATAATGGATCTCTGCTCTACCTGTGGCCTCAGGGTGAAGCACCCTTTTAGCTCTACCTTTTAGAAAAGTAAGAACACAACAACTTACAGAATATACCTTACCCTGAGCTACAACTCTCTTATCTGTCCTCATCTGGGGGAAGGTTGCATCCCATCAGGTACCCTTCATCAAAATGGGCTTTGGATGGTAAAGTTGCTGAGATTGCTGGAGGTTATGTAGCCCAAGACCCTATGAACCCAGCCTCTGTCAGGGCAGGCATATGAGCTAGATTTGCATCTAATGAGATTAGTCCAGGAATTAGTTTGTCATAGACAGATGTACTTTATTATTTTTCTACTAGAAGCCTGGTACACAAAATTCATGCACTTGGGGACAGGGGGGAGGGGGTGTCCCTCAGCCCGGATTGCAAGAGGGTACAGGCCAGGCCGAGGGACCCCACTGGTGCACACTTGGGGACCGGGGGAGGGGGGTTGGCCAGCTGGGGAGGGATGGCAGGAGGGCTCCAGGGCGTGTCCGGCCTGTCTCACTCAGTCCCAATTGGCTGGACCCCAGCAGCAAGCTAACTTACCAGTCAGAGCATCTCCCCCTCTGGTGGTCAGTGCACATCATAGGAACTGGTCGACCAGTCCACTGTCTGCCCCATGGTGGTCAGTTCACATCATAGCGACTGGTCGACCGGTCGACTGTCTTCCCCATGGTGGTCAGTGCACGTCATAGCGAGCAGTTGAGCAGCCTTAGCATATCATTAGCATATTGTGCTTTGGTTGAATGGCCAACTGGACACTTAGCATATTAGGCTTTTATTATATAAGATAGTACAGTAAATACACAAACCAGTAGCATAGTCATTTATTATCATTATTAAATAGTATGTACTGTACATAATTGTATGTGCTGTACTTTTACACTGCTGACAGGACAGTAGATTTGTTTACACCAGCATCACTACAAACACATGAGCAGTGTGTTGCACTGTGACATTAGGATGAGGTGGCTTTAGCCAACTGGAGCACAGGTACTAATGTGAGATGGACAGATTCCAGAAGTGACCTAGTGCCTGCTCATTTAGAGATCTATTTATTACTATCCTTGTTCAACAAATCACTCTATCTTGTGGAAAATAGATTTTAAACTCAGTGAATTTGTTGTTGCTGTTAACAACTGATAGTCAATTTATTTAAACAGTTGATTTAAGCATCCGCAATGGTGACTGCAGCCTCCAACTCCTGGCTCAGTACGATGGAAGGAATCTGTTTAACAATCTCAGAAGAGCTGTGCAGGTCAATGAAGTCACTGTAGATCCTTGTCTGAAACTGATCCCAAGTTTTAGAACCCTCCCCACTGGGGGTTTTTTGTAGTGATTCTCTGGGTTTTGGTAGGCATCTGAACTGGTCCTTTCACTTTGAGATTCTTTTTTTTTTTTTTTGCACCTCTGGTCAAGTCAGCATACAGCTTCTCCAACCGTTTTACATTGTGGCTGGCTAGAGTAATTATAATTCGGTGAATTGCCACCTCTGGTTCCATGGTTCCACGGGTGTCTTTCTTGTACCTTTAAAAGCCATGGCTGTGGCTCAGCTTCCTGACCGACTTGTTTCTCGGTGAGTCAGGAGCAGGAGCGATTGGTCAGACAGTTGGAGGGACACTTAGCATATTAGCCTTTTATATATATAGATTACCTAGCACCAATGATAAAAATGTACTTTAAATCTGAGATATAGGTGAAAACATACTGAGCCTCCACATTGATGAGTGTATAAGGTGTATTGTATATTGTCAGGGCATAATATGAACAAAATCCATTGTTTCTAATTTTGGTTGTTTGGAGAACTGACAGATGGCATTTGGTGCCTTGCCCTTCTCCAATGCAAGTGAGGAGGGGTTAGCACACTGAATAGCCAGGTCTGTTTCATTTCCATTACCAGGCTTCTTTTGGTCATGGGACTGAGCCCAAAGGGTGCCTAACCCTGCCAGATTCCCTAGGTCCTCCTCACTCTGTTCAGTAACAAGCATTTATTGACGATGTGGTAGACAGTATGCCAAATGATTTTCATATGTTATCTCTTGTAATCCTCACAACAATTTAATAAGCCAAAGATGCTTATTTTATAAATGTACAAACAGACTTAGAATTTAAGAATCTTGCTTAAGATCTAGGACTTCAGAGTCCCCTCCTCCCCCCAGTTTTGCCAGGAACAATGTGAAGTAGAGTATGACACAGACTCTGTCTTCAAGGAGCTTATAGTTTAATGCAGACAGATACATTAACCCATAATTTCATTTAAATGTGATAGGTGCCTTGACAGAAATATGAGCACAGAAGGTATGGGAGCCTAGAGGAGGGTCATTACTTGAGTTAAAGGTTTATTAGGAAGGCATCTTGGAGGAAGTGGTGTTCAAGTTAAGATGATGTAAGTTTAGCTGCAGTGAACCTAGCTTCTGGGGTATATTATCAGACTATCCTAGAACTAAGAGTGGAAGACCCAAAGACAGGCCCAGAATATTTCTGGTAGGTGTTTGCCAGTTTGCCCCAGCTCAGCCCATTCATTGTAGATATTTCTAAGCTCTAACCTTTCAGAGTGATAAACAATAGCTGAGTTCACAAACAAACAAACTTGGATGTATAGACCCACATGTTGTTAATCTAATCAGTTAAGTATCTGATTTCTTGAAAAGTACCATTACTTTTGTGGCTAAACTTTATTAATGCAACATAATTTTTTAAAAAGTTTTAAAGTATCAAGTGCCAAATAAATGGTTGTTAAATAAGTGAATGAATAAGAGAAATAATCATATACAACAGGGGTCAACAAATATTTTCTGTGAAGGACCAGATAATAAATGTTTTATCCTTCATGAGCATATAGTTTCTGTTGCAACTACTTGATCCTGTTGTAGCACAAAAGCAACCATGGATGTTAAGTGAACAAATGGTGTCACTGTGCTCTAATAAAACTTTATTTACATAAATAAGGTGGCAGCTTGAATTTGGTTGTGGGCTGCAGTTTACCGATTCATAATATATAACAGTCAATACTTTACCAAAGTTACAATTTGCTCCTTATAAAATGTACTAAGGGCCCAGTGCATGAATTCATGCACGTTGAAAGGAACTGTGGGCCGTGAGGTGCCGCAGGCACAGGGGCAGGTCTCAGCCCATCCTCCACGCCCCTGCCCGGCCCCTCCTGCCACGGCCCCTTGTCCCCTGTCTGCCCTCCTGACGCCACTGTTCCCATGTGCTAACGGCGCCGGCCCTGCTCGAACCCGCCAATGGCGTGGAGTGATTGGGGCCAGTGCCAGCAGTGGGTGCAAATGGGGCCAGGGCCGTCAGTGGGTTCAAGCAGAGGCTGCTGCCCCGACCACCCCTCAGGAGCAGGGGGAGGTGGAGAAGGCCTCAGGGGCGATCAGGGCCATCAGCCGTCGCTTGCACCCACTGATGGCACTAAGTGATTGGGACCGGCACCGGCAGCGGGTGCAAGTGGCAACTCTGGTGCCAGCTGCAGGTGTGAGCAGGGCCAGCACCGGCAGTAGGTGTGAGTGCCGGGCAGGACCGTGGCACATGGGAGCAAACAATGTTCAGTAACCACCAGAGGCTTGCCCCAATGACAGCAGCCGGCGCCCCACCTTGGTCTGGCTCCCCTGCTCACCTGCTCCACCATCCTGCCTCGGGTAACGCCCGCCATGTTCCGCCATGTGTGCCCCCTGGTGGTCAGCACACATCATAGTGACCGGTTGTTCAGTTGTTTTGGTTCCAGTTGTTCCACCGTTCGGTCTATTTGCATATTAGCCTTTTATTATATAGTTTTTAAATTCTGTGCTTAATTATATGCAGGTAACATATCTGGGGAAGGAGCTTTTAAAGTGTGTTTCTGAAGAAGTACCCATACCTCCAGAACCAAACTTGGTACCTCAGCAACATCAACCTTGTCTTCCAGGTATGTGCAGACCCACACCCATTTCTTAGTTATGGGAACAACACACACAAACCTACTGGGAAAGCATTCCTTTTTTTTATTTTTGTCGTCTTTTTCTTTCGGGTGAAATTCACATAACATTCAAATGACCATTTTTAAATGAACAAGTCATACACAGTGCATTTAGTACATACACAATGTTGTACAGTCACCACCTCTGTGTAGTTCCAACACTTTCATCACCCCAAAAAGAAACCCCATACCATGCAGCAGTTACTCCCCATTCTCCAGTCCCCCATCCCTGGGGTCTACCGGTCTGCTTTCTATCTATGGGGATTTGCCTATTCTGAATGTATCTTAGAGAGAGAAGGAGGGGTAGGGGGAGGAGAGAGAGAGAGAAAGAGAGGGAGAGGAGAGAGAAAGAGAAACATCAACGTGAGAGACATATCAATTGGTTGCCTCCTGCACACACCTGGATTGGGGTGGGGATAGAACCTGCAACCCAGGCACATGCCCCTGACAGGGGCGGGCCGACACTCTAGCTACTGAGCCATGCTATATCTTTTTGTGGAACAGCCACACTGTTTTCTACAGCAGCGGAACCATTTTACATTCCCAACTGCAATGTACAAGGCTCCCAATTTCTCCATACCCTCACCAACACTTGCTGTTTTCTGTTTGTTTATAGCACTTCATTGTTAACCACAGATGATTCTAGGATAATTAAGGAAATGATACCCTCTGCTCACAATTTCTTTCTCTTTACTTTGGGTAGATTTTTTAATGTCATTATTTGGTTAGTTTTTCATATTTTCTAAAAATATACTAAAATAAATCTTTGCTTATTAGTGTAAACAAATACGATTTATCTGATGAAATAAACCTTAGCCTGAGAAAACTGAAAAGAATGTAGTCTTCACCAATTAGCTGCAGATTTTGAAATGATCTTAAAGTGGCAGCACACATTTTTGAAAAAGTTAACTAATGTTAAGTTACCCTTCTCTGCTGTAGTATTCCCTCTTTTTTCTCCTTGTCCTTGCCCCAGACTAGTTGGGGACAATGTAGACCAGTGATGGTGAACCTACGACACGCGTGTCAGAGGTGACACGCGAACTCATTTTTTTGGTTGATTTTTCTTTGTTAAATGGCATTTAAATATATAAGTCTTTGTTTTACTATGGTTGCAAATATAAAAAAGTTTCTATATGTGACACAGCACCAGAGTTAAGTTAGGGTTTTTCAAAATGCTGACACGCCGAGCTCAAAAGGTTCGCCATCACTGATGTAGACTGAGAAGAGGTACAAATCAGAAGATAATAATACTGAGATAACCAGTCAAGAACCAAACAGGGATTACTATCACCACGCCCCTAACCAGGGCGCTCTAGGGATGTTCCCTTCCTTACAACAAACCCCAATAATTCAAAGTACTTTCCTCTCCTGATACCTAATCCACCCTAACTTCTGAGGTCCTCCTTTGTCTCCTTTGTCTCCCAAACTGGCTCCAGAATAGGATGCATTTCCCCTTATTTTCTGAAGACAGCTTCAAACGTGCTTTTTATCATTTGGGAGAAACAGATTTGGTAAAACAGCAATTGTGGTGAAATTAAAAGCCTTAAGAAATGAAAAGGAGTTTGTGTAGTAATTTATGGTTTTGATTCCTGACCCTGACTGCAGATCTATCTAATTCAGGTTCCTGGCGTAGGGTCCAGGAACCTGAATTTTAAAAAGTGATTCTTATGCAGTCAGCCTGACCTATTACTCTAAACCTATTACTTTGAATGACTAGTAGTATCTGACTTCTTATGCAGATAATAATTGGAAAACTTGATACATTCAGTCCTTTATTTTGATTTAAAAGTACACCTGCTCTAGTGCTCACAGGCACTTCTCTCTCTCTCTCTCTCTCTCTCTCTCTCTCTCTCTCTCTCTCTCTCACACACACACACTCTTGAAGGAAAGCCAAGTAAACTCTTCTCGTAGATTCTAATCTCAAAGCAGAACTGTAGGTCTTCTTTATACACAAAGGTTATCTGTTCTTCAGATTTTCTAGTGATATGTGATAGGTACATGCCAACAGGAGCCAGGCCAAGAGGCGTGAGAGTTTAAGAAATTTTATTATATTCTCTCACAGCGGGCTGAGACTATTTTGTCAGTGTCAGTGTTACAGAATTTACCAAGCGACCGAAAAATACACTGGGAGTACTCGGAGATCCAGGATAAACCCATTTATTTTCAGATGTACTAGAATAGTGACTCGGGGGGTCAGTTCTCCAAATCCTGAGTGAGTGAATATGGAGGAAGCTTTTCCCTTATACCCTTCGGTTTGTTTGTTTTCTATCTGTTTCCCAACTACCAGGCTTTTGTGGTGGGCTTCCACAGCCCGTCCTCAGTGAGTAGATGGGGAAGTTTGACTGTATCTAAATGCCTGGTCTGGGTGGTGTCAGTGACCTCCCCTGGAGCTAAGCTGTTACATTCTTTGTTTATGGCCCCTTTGTAAATTGTGAGTAATTAGGAAAACAGGTCTTGCTAGACCAGATTGTGAAGAGAGGGACAGTGACTTAATGTAGGCTATCAAGAATGTACATTAGGTTACTGGCACAGATTCAGATTGCTAGCCCTCCCAAAATGTCTTATATTCCCCATCATCAGCACCGAGGGAGTGTTTATGTTCTCTTATATATGGACTGGGTCAGGGTTGCACCAGCCAGCTCGGTAGCTGCCTGAACAACAGGATGTCCTTGGAAGATAGCACAACTCAGGCAAAGGGGAGCGCCTGAGTCAGCTGGGGAGTGTATCTTATCTTCTGCAGGTGCAGGGCGTTTGCTTCAAGCTATGGGAAAAAATTATAACAATATATTTCAGAAAACATGTCCAAACAGGATAGGCCATGGGTAGTGCATCCTAACAATAGGCATGCATTTCCACCCCCAGCCGTGCATCTCCTTCCTCAGAGGGACCACAATTCCCTGCTAAGTGAGCATGAAATAAAAAAATGGTTTCTCAACTGCTGTTTCTGTTGCTGGCAATGTAAACAGTTTCTTGTTACTAAATTCTGAACTATCTTTCCTTTAGATAATTTTTAAAATATTAATGCTAATTTGAGAACGGTGGAAGTGCCAGAACCCACTTCTTACTACCTTGATCTGGGACTATGAATCTACAGGCAGGTCCCTGCTGACATTCTGTAGGCTGCTGTTAGAGTTTTGTTTGAACCTTCTTGATTTAGGATTCTTTTGTACTTATTTTTGTGGTACCTTACAAAAATCCAAAGACATGGCAAGTTAGAAAAGTGCTAACTCTTTCATGGGGGCTTAATATCATTTGTTCATTTGAAAATAGAACATGCTTTTTCAGGAAAAAATAGACTCTTTTTGCAATGATAACCATGAACATCTACTTCTAGCTTTGTGACAAAGAATTTTTCCATCAGGGGCACTTAAAAACATAAAATGGTCCTTGACTTACTGATAATCTGTTGTAAATAAGTGACTTTAAAGAGTTTTCATCATTTCGGTGCTGTTATTGTGCTTCATTTCTCTGTAAAAGTATAAGTAATAGAGCACAGACATCCACAGATGCTTCTGTTTTATGTGGTTAAGAACTTCTTAAACCGTAAACACCTGAGGAAGATGGGTGTTTGATAACAGCAGAGTGTTTATTTCAGCTCCTATTTACAACTCTTAATTCTTTTTCATTATTTTCATCATGTTTTTCATACTGGTTTTATGTTTGTTTTAATTAATTTATTTTTTAAACTTATCTTTATTGAAGTATTACAGATGTCCCCCTCTTTTCCCCATTGAACCCCTCCACCCTGCACCTGCCCCCACCCCCAGGCCTTTACCACCCTATTGTCTGTGTCCATGAGTTATGCATATACATTTTTCGGTTAATCTCTTCCTACCCATGGCCCCCCACCCCCACCGCCCTTCCCTCTGAGATTGGGCAGTATGTTCTATGTCTCCATGTTTCTAGATCTGTTTTGTTCATCAGTTTATTTTGTTCTTTAGATTCCACATATGAGTGAGATCATATGATACTTGTCTTTTTCTGACTGGCTTATTTCATTTAGCATAATACTGTCCACGTCCCTCCATGCTGTCTCAAAGGGCAAGAGATCCTTCTTCTTTACTGCTGCATAGTATTCCATGGTATAAATGTACCATAGCTTTTTTATCCACTCACCCACTGATGGGCACTTGGGCTGTTTCCAGATTTTAGCTATTGTAAATTGTGCTGCTATGAATAGAGGGAGTAGAATGGTTTCTTAGCTCTGCAGTTCTTGTTGGAGATGAGGGACAAGAAAAAGAACCAATGTCCACATCAGTAGCTATTTTCCTAGTTGTTGGGCTGCTGAATATGCGACTGTTCAGAAATTTTGTTTGCAGATCTCAGAGGCATTTTGCCTAGGGAATCTACCTCAAGTGAAAATGAACGTGGGAAGAACTTCTGCACTTCAGTGTGATAGATTGGTTGTCTTCACATCTCCCGATGGAAAAATCCTTTGTCGCAAATCTGCAAGTAGATGATCATGGTTATCATTGCAAAGAAGATGATAATTACTTGACCAATGAAGGGATTTAATTACCATTTCTCAGGATTCTCATTTCTCATTCACAAGAATTCTTTCAGTGATAGAGCTTCCTTCAGGCTCTAGAGGCAGGCGAACCTGGTCCTTAAGCAGAACTAGGAATCCAAGCACTGCTCCACTTAATCCTCCCCAAAGTGAGGACTGGAAGAAATAAACAGCAGGTATTGTCAGGCTGCTTCAGTCTATACGTGTGTGCATGTTCCTGGTATCACAGTGTTTCACCTGTCAGTTCCTATTTCTGCAGATCACAACAGCTTAGGTTTTCTAGGATCTTTCCATGGAATGGTGACAATTACTAATGTACCCCAAATAAAATCCTCTCCTATTAAAAAATACTCAATTTAAACATTTTATATGCAATATTTGAATTATGCTGCTTTATTCCTTTTTTCGACTTCCTACCCTTACTGTGACTGTCAGGGCCAGAATGGAAGCAAAACTTCAGTGTTTGCGATCTCTGTGTGAACACCATGGTGATGACTTCTTGTCACAGATAAGGTGAAGGTCATCAGGTGCTCCTGGCCCTCTCACACTAGTCCCTTTATTTAGGTCTGTGGCTTTTGGGGAAAGGCCACTCTGGAAAGAGGTTTTTTTGTGCAAAAGACCTATTCTTCATCTGATGAAGCTAAGCTAACCTTAAGGAATTTAATTTAAGTAATATTTAAAGCTGTGGGGTTTTTTGAAAGAAGTATTCCCCTCACCCCCAACCTTTATGGGATGCCTTGTTTCAGAAAGTCTACAAAACAAGGCTGCTATAAGGGAATTATTATGTTTTAGATATGGCCCATGTGTAAAAAAAGTTAAAATTCTTTGTGTTGTGACAGTTTAAAACCCAAATTAAATTCACTTAACCCTCTTCCTCTGAAAAAAGGAATTTTATGGACTCATGTATATGAAAATCCAGGAAGAGGTCTTCAGCTTAAGCCAGGGTTCAAACAGCATGACTAGCACCAGTTTCTCTGCTTTCCGTTTCTCAGCTCCATCCTAACAGTCTCTCCTCTCATTATCCCAGAGCTACATGCTTCCAGATTCAAGTTCAGAGGGGAAGAATATGGAACTCTTTCCCAGAAGATCCAACAAAGATCTCTTGCATCTCACTTCACTCTGAATGGGTCATGTTTTCATCCTTAAGTCAATGCCTATTCACTGGTTGGCTTAGATCTAAATAAATTCCACTAGAAGCACATGGTCAGGTGAAGGGAAAGGGATGATTCTTCAGAAGCAAATTAGAGTGGGGTCAGCATTAGATGGATTAATGGCTACTGGGCATCACAAGAACCCAATGCCCACACAGGTGTGTAATTATGAAAACACTTGGGCATTGCTTAGAATTACAAACAGAGCTCTTGGACTACATGGTCTGTCTAACTGAAATTGCCTGGCAAAGGTCACACCCATATTGGTGCTGTCTGTGGACTAAGATTCAGTTTGCTGAGTTATATAGAGCTCATATAGCCCTCTGAGAAAGGACTTTCTGAGACTGTCAGTGAGGATGAGAAGCCAGTTTTAGGATGAATGACTCTAGACTGCAACAGGCTTCTTTCCCAGATCAGCCATGCTGATT